ATTTTCGAACCTCGAACGCGCATGATCCGCTCGGGGGCGTGCGCCCTCTAACGTTATCCTCACCTTGATCATTATCGATAAATCGTTCGCGCGTATCAGTCGAATTTAAATGTAAAGAAAAGGTAGTGAGTGACAATTTTTTATTTTCATATTTATTAACAAAACAGAAATCAGCACCTCGTCTTAATTACCCAGCTTATTGCTGCGCGTACAGTAGGATTTCACGAGCGTTTCGAAATAGATGTTTACTCAATGATGATCAGGAAGCGAATTCTTGCGTCCTCGTTATTCATTTTTCATCCTTTTTTCGGCAAAAATCGACAAAAACTTCTCTTTTTTGTCCATCACCCTCTTTGATACCACAAGAAAAAGTGTAAAAAATTTGTATTTCTGAGCGCCATCTCTTATTGACATTTGGTTTTTCTTCCAAATTTTCAAAAATTACTTTTTAAATAAACTATAATTATTGAAATCCTTCAATGTCTGAATACTCTGAATTATTTCATTCCCCTTTGACACAATTTCTCACATTAATTCTTCTTTAATTCCAAAATTTATATTCCGTTTCTTTCAAAATCTTCACATTTTTAATTTTCAACATTTCGGTTTTAAACTGATTAAAATCACTTGAATCTGATGTAATTCATTATAAGCTTTATGTTTTTAGGTATTTCAAGAAGTTTTTTGGCTGTAATCACCCATAAATTGAATACTTTTGATTTGGAGGTTATGTTTCGTTTTTTTTTGTGGCCTCTTTTTTTTTTAACTAAATACAAGAATATTTCCTAATCTACGACGGAAATACGAACGGATTTATCATTAATTAAAACATTTTTACAAATAACGACGAAATCAATGAGAACTATAACAAACTTTTATGAAATTTTTCAACGATCAGCTTTAACTATCCTCGGTATATCAACTTTGATATCAATACGTGAGTTGTTCTTTATATTTTAATTATAATATTAATTTGAACGGTAAGATCACTGATTTTATTGTTGTTTTTATCTGATTGAATTGTATTTATCTATTTTTTTAGATTTGAAGAAGTACTAATAAACTCTCTAGGCTCTCGATTTACAAGGATTTTTCTACGGAATGTCATTATTTCCTCTTTATTGTAATTATTTCTTATAACAAAACTATTGTTTATTAATTAATTAATTAATAAAATTATGAGTGGAACCCAATATTATTACAGTATCTAATATGTTGACTAATAAAATAGTCCTTTTAATGTGTAATAATAAATATTTTATAGAAAACAATTGCTGTTTTAGCTACTCTTTTCATTTAAAATAGGTAATTAATCTAGTATTTAATAGTTAACGTAAAGAATTATTGTTGATATTACATCTACTTTTTTTAGATTTTATATCTATACCTCTCTAGATAATTTAACTATACATAAAATAGTGAATATATCTAAATATAATAGGTATTAGGTAATGGTAAATAAATAATAAAGATTTAATTAAAAATAAATGTATTAAAACACAAAATAAATACGTACATAAACACGATCCTGAATATTGAACAAATTGAATTAAAAAGGAGGTTTTGGTTATACAACTAATGAACCATCTTGAAGAATAATAATATTAGTTAGTTTTTATTATTAGTTAGGTGGATGAGTAACATCTTTGGAATTAATAATATCGGTCACGCAAGTGACAGGCTTGTCAATAAAAAAGCACAAATAGTGTTCATTGAATTTTCTCTGATTTAATTTGCTTGTTAAAAAATAAACCTTATCAATAAAAATTATATGTATAATGCTATGAAATTCCAAAGATGTATTCTCACTCTTTTTAATAATAACATCATTTTTACGGTACTTTGTATTACAAATTTCAATCCTTTCACAGACTAAAACCTTTTTCATTATTTCTGAATCTATGTTAACTTTTATAAAGTCCACCACACAACGCACATCTTTATATTCTCCTAACGGTATAACCGTAGATGATGTATTTTTAAACCACTGGAGATAAGTGGCAAAAGTAAATTGAGATTTTATTGCACTTGTTAAGAGTATATTTTTTCTGCTAGTCACAACATTTGTATATGATTTGATTTGTTTATGTTTTGCCTCGTTTCTCATGACCCAGAGCCTTTTTAATGGCCTACTTTTCGAATCACACTGGGATAGTGTATAATGAAATATGTTTAGATGTTAATTCAACGTTGAATAAAGACATATACACTGTTGGAAATAATTCACGAGCACACCCTGTATAATCTGAATGCGTGTGTCTAGCGCAATAAAATTTGGTATGGAAGTAGTACTAAAGTAGTGTAACTTACTCTCACATGGAGAGGGGCACAACTCTGCTGGGAGGAGAAACATCAATAGCGACAGTATCCCCCGTGAGCTTCGCGTACTATCGCAACACGACGTGGCATCGAGTCTATAAGTCGCTGTATTGTAGCGAGAGGGATGGCCAACCATGCCACCTCAACTCGCCTCCATAGCTCCTCAACGTTAGCCGAGGAAGCCGGATAACGTAGAAGTCTCCGACCAGTCATATCCCAAACATGTTCGATCGGATTCAGATGCGGTAACCGAGCTAGCCATGGAAGCATTCGTATACGGTGCTCTTCCACAAAGGTCTGTACAACACGCCCGATATGTTGTCGTACGTTGTCGTGCATGTATAGCAGATCTGGGAGCCGCCGAAAGTAGGGAAGCAGAACGGACCGTAGCACCTCATCTACGTATCGTTGACCCGTCATGGTTTGCTATACACGCAGCAGACGTGTACGTCCACCATATGTAATCGCACCCCATACCATAATGCTCGGTTGTCAGTGGATAGGGCGTTCTTGCACACACTGCTCGAGTAGACGATCACCACGGCTTCGACGAACTAAAATTCGCGCATCACCAGTGCTCAATTCGAATCTTGATTCGTCGGAAAACAAGATGTCCCTCTACTCGACAACCTACTAATGCCTAGCATCGACCCACTCGTGACGTATGCTGCGGTGCTCGGGTGTTACTGCAATCCGCTGTATAGCACGACGCGCGCGCTGTCCACTATCTACCAAACGCCGCCATACAGTTTGCGTAGTGAATGCGCCTTCCCCTGCCGGTGGCCAAACAGCTCCAAGTTGCCTTGAGGAGGACACACACGACGCTAAAACGCTGACAACAAGAGCGCGATCCTCGTGTGCTGAGGATGCACAGGGCTGTCCCGGCCGCGGCTGAAGGTACCTATGTCCTACCTCAGACCATTCTCGCCATGCCCGTTGTACTGCCGATAACGACTGCTCGAGACGACGCGCAATTTCACAGAACGATACACCCTCAATGTGCATACCCACAAACATTCCTCGCTTAAACTCGCTTAAGTAACGCGCTCGCCCATCCATTGCGCTCAGAGTACGATAACAATGTGGTCCCTCACACCACACTAAAAATGACCGGTATTTTCCATCCACTTCGGTCTCCATAGCGATGGAATGTTCCACTTGGAAGGGCGGCTCAGTCAACAATGCCGCGGCGGAACAACTCGAAACTCCCTGAATAAACTCGTCTACAGTAAAGCTTTGTGCTCTGCAAATATTATGGATTTATCTTCACGCGTTCAGATTATATAGGGTGTGCTCGTGAATTATTTCCAACAGTGTATGTTTTATGATGTTTTTTTATTATACCCCTCAATTCGTTGAGTTTAGTTTCATCATATAACGGAAGAAGGCACAAGTCAACAAGAGTGCAAAGTAAAATTAGAAGCTTCCAAACTGAATAGCCTTTGGGATACCTATGTTGGTTTTACGGTTTTAGAGCTGTCGAAATTATTAATGTACAATTTTTTTTACGATTTTTTAAAAACAAAGTATGGTGAAGGTATTTGGTTATGCTACATGGATACGGATAGATTCACCGTTCTAATTAATTCCGATGATGTTTATAGAGACGATAAATTAAAATTAAATAAATTTGACATGTCTAACTACAGTCCTGATAATCAGTTTGACGTTATGTTACAAAATAAAGCGGTTTTAGGCCTCATGAAGGATGAGAATTGTGGTGAAATTATGGAAGAATTTGTTGGTTTGAGATCGAAGGTGTATGCTAATAGAGTCGCTGATGGTCGGGTTACTAAAAAATGCAAAGGTGTAAAGAATGCTATCGTGAAACGCAAAATTACTTTTGAAAATTATATTAAATCTTTAAATTCTAAAACGGTTTTGATTAGAAAGCAATTATCTTTAAATTAATTGCAATTATCGTTAGGTTTCCCACAGAACTCTACAATTTTTTTACGTAAGCTTTCACTACCTACCGCTAGGTGGCGCCCCCTTTCCGCGTACAGAAATCTCTTGGGTTTAGTTCCACTACCAACCACTAGGTAGCGCGAATTTTCTAGTAACTTTTTAAAAAAAGTCACCAGATTTAGTTACTTTTCCAATACCAACCTAAATCTAGTAACTTTCCCCCCAGATTTAAGTTGGTCACTTTCCCTATACTTATAACATTGGACTGTGACGTTACAAGGAGCCGCTCCTCATCCAGAACCGGCATTAATACACTACTCATAACCACCAAGTCATACTTCTTTTTTCCTCTTTCGTTAATTGACATGTATTAAATACTTTAATACCTTCCTCACCAATACTATTCAGCAATATCGCTAATTTTTCTTCATCAGTTTTATCATTATTCATTTGATGTTTTGAAACTACTTCAAACTTTGCTAAATACTCTGAAGTACTTGATTTGTAACTCCTATTACAAATAATAGTTATTTATTGTGTAAGTGTTTTAGACAGCATTTTATTCACGCAAGAGTGTTTATTTTATTTTTTTTGTAGATGACATTGCGTAAAGGTCACCGAAAATTAGAAGAAAAGCCTTACCACATAATGGTTTTTGTTCGATTTATTAAAATTTCTTTCTACTTTCGTCATTAGCAATATCAATATCAAAGTAAAGAACTTTTCACGTCTAATACTAAACTATAAATGGAAACAAAGCGTTTTTAGCATAATATTGGGAATCCCCCACTATGGTATTGAAAATTGAAGCCTTTTTTATCAGAGCAGTGAAAAAAAAATCGTGAACATCAGAACTGGGTGTACGTGAAGAGAAAAGTTAATTAAAACGAAAAAGTTAAATGTATCCTTTAATATTTATAATTACTGTGTTTGTCTTAATTTTTGTCTTTTCCACACAAATCTACAATCTGAGGTTTCCTGACGATGTCCGCTAACAAAAGGCTGTCATCAATAAATGCAAGTTACTTTATTTATTAACCGTCTTTAGTCAATTACTAATTTCTTGTTGATTCATGATCACCATAAAGTAAAGCGTTTTTTCCTACTATGTGCACATTATGAGGTCGAAAGTGGTGATTCAACATAACATGGCAATGTTATGCAGAAATGTCGTCCATACTTAAAACATACAATTGGCTGAACAATTTCTGTCAATAGAAAACTTGAATAACTAGTTTCTCTACAATTTATCTATAAACATTCCTATACCTATTTATTGTCGTTGCTCTCATATTAGGAAATTTATCAAAACATGCAAGAATAAATTTCAAAAATCGGCGTTGGAACGATCTGCCATGATATTGAATGACTTACACCCGTCGTGAAATGTAACTAATGACAACAGTAATACAAACATGCACAAAGGTCCACAGCGTTCTAATAAAAAAAATGCATTTCGTGCATGTTTTAATAAATTTCCCAATATGAGGCAAACTACAATAAATAGGTATAGGAATGTTTGTAGATAATTTGTAGAGAATTAAATTTCCTTTTTGATAGGCTAAAATAATATGAGGCGTTCCATTTTAAATTTTCGACTTTTTCGACATTGAATATGGAGAAACAGTAATTCAATTTTTGACCACTCTGTATAAGATACTCCGATATAACAAATGACAATCTATTTAACAGCATTTGAAGAGTAATCGTGCCAATGTAGATCTTTTTTGAATGAACGTTGGTTGAGATATGGGGTTTTAAAGAGCACGTTGAAATTTACCATAAAAAGCATAAAACCAAAATAACTCGAAAACGAAAAACGCCCTTACAAAATTCTCAAATAAATCAGTAAATAATGTGGATCTGAATGGCAACGTTTTTTTCATCCCCGCCAAAAATAATGTGTCCAAATATTAATATCATAAATTGTTGAATTTTAATTATTTTAATCATCAGAGTTATCTGATGGATACTCATTCACGATTTCTTCTGTATCCCGTTGCCGCGCCGGCTTGGTAGGGTCATACATCATTGCAGCGTTGCGATAAAGTTCCTCTGCCTTTTCAACACCTTTTCCTTCACAAGTAGGGTTGTGTTGTGTCGACAATGTCAGGTCGACAAAAATTTTTGTCGACATTTTATCGACCCATCGATTTTTCACCATCAACACGCTCTAATCGCACTATACATTAAATGAATATAACCTCAAAAAACGAATTGTTGACGTTGTCGACAGTTGACATTGTCGACGTGTCGAATAAGTACGTCGAGGTCAAGTGTCAACAAAAATGTCGACGCGTCGACAAGCAACCCTGTTCACAAGTTTTGTGGTAAATATATTGTGCAAAGTTTCCCGGGAGTTGAATCTTCGTATGACCCGACGTAGATTCGGGATCCTTCAAATCAATCGAGTGGTTAACCTTTAAATCTCGATACCTGTTCCTTTCTAAACAATCGTGGACTTTCCAATAATTCGAAATAGTAACAGGCAGAATCATTTTTGAATTATTGGTACCAGGGTATCCGCAGTCCTTTCCTCCACAATTTCCATAAACACGGGTCCTGTCTTGCGTTCATAACCGCCAAAAACCCATTGTCCTTCAACTCGGTGTCCTCGGTGAAATATTTTTCTTCCGAATTTACTCTCATCAATTTCAACGATAAAACCCAGACCAGCAGCAGCTAGCTTTTCGGGGTACAGCAGATACTTATCCAACAGAATTTCTCTACAAAACGACACCCAAAAAGCTGCAGTCGTCAAGGACATTTTTGTAATTTTCGCAATTAGCGTAAGGGGTGTCCTTTACGAATGGAAACAGGTCCATGGCACGCCCAAACGTAGCCATCAGCACCATTACTGCGATGTTGCCAGACAAGTGGAGTTTCGCGTAGGGGACACTTGTACTCGCCTTCCTAGGGAATGAAACCCAATTCCCTCAGGCAGTTAACTAAAGCTTCTACGTCCACCGCATGGAGATGAAACATAGTCAATCTAGTAATTTAAAAAAGAAATAATTAATATCTAAAATTATGGATCGGACATCCAACTTACCTCAGCTATTTTAAAAACATAAGTAAAATTCACTAAAGTTAAAGGTGGTTAAAGAACAGAACATAGGCTAACATAGACACAGAATAACCAGAAGCACAGATTACTCGTGTATTACTCTGTGAACCAACGGTTCTTTCAAAATAACCTCACATTTACTTTAACGCTTATGCTAACAACCTGTGCAATTATGTACTCATTTGTGATTTTAGCAATTGCGTTTTTCTTAGCGTTATTAGTAAATAAATGTTTCTGAATGTTTTAAAAATATAATTATTAAATTAAAGACTAGGTAATAAATAAGAGATAGCGCTTTTATAAGCAAAGTTTCAAACCAACTTTTATATTCTTTAAAAATTCAAATTAATCTTAAGATAATGATTATTATTATTATTATTGCTGCCGGGCTGAAGGGAGCGGCCCCTCTTGTTACCGCGACCTATGAGATCTAACTTTAGCCCCCCCACAAGTTTAGGGCAATGTAGGTCCTTGATGAACCTTAGTATTGTCCTGAGGTCTTGAACCTTTATGTCGGTAGGTGTCAAGGGAGTTCTACCGAAAATGTTGTGTCTTAGACGGCCTCTGGCGACGCAACTGCACAATACATGTTCAGCAGTTTCTGACTCGTCGTTGCAAGGTCGACAAGTTTGATCCTCGGCTTGTCCAATGTGGAAGAGGTGGTATTTTACGGGCGCATGGGCGGTCAGGAAACCTGATAGCGTCCTTAGATCCCCTTTGCTGAGGCATAAAACCTCTTTGGTTTTGTTTTGCGACGGAGTTATCATAGGCCTGAATTGCCTTTAAGGCGACCCGACTATCTGTGCAAATGTTTATGGATGCACCTTTCTGTCCCTTCTGTAGGTTCAAAGCGGGGCAGAAGGCTATTTGGTCCACTGATGCCGATGCCTACTTCGGATCTAACTGTCTTTGATGCATCGGTGTACCAGGCTAGGGCTCCTCTTTTTAGTTGAGGCCCTCCCTTCGCCCCCGCTTCATCCCCGCTTCTAAATGTGACCTTATACGGCTGGTTGAAATTGTATTCTGTCGGTATAAGGTCCGTTTTAATTTGAATCAGGTGATTTAGCTTTGGTCCTTGAGGATTTCGAGGTATCCCCTGAGGTTACCCTGCATCAACTTGAGTGAAGAAACTGTTTTCAGTGATAAGGCACTTGAAGCTGCCTCCTTTTGTATATACAGGGTGATTCACATAAGAACCGACACAGAGCAGGGACATGTAGAAGACAATAATTTAAGATGATTTAACGCAACTTATCTCTATACTAAGTTGTACCCCTGAGGAGTTATAGGCCTTCAAAGTTGGGTCTTAAATTTTTAAAACAGTGAATATCTTCGTAATATGCTATAAGCTAGAAAAACCAAATTTGGCATACATTATGAGTATGACCGAGAGTATTAATTAGTGGCAAGTTGAAACCAATTGAGACATTTCAAAGGGTTGATTATGGGTGATGGTCCACTAAATTTTGACAGATTTTTTTAACCTTTTGGTGGATTTAATACATTATTACCTCATTTCATGTGGAATTTAATTCTAAAACTTTTTTACTCTTATTATTTTTTAAAAAACATTGTCGTTTTCATAAAAAAACTCAAATAACTAAAGACACGTATTTCGTTAATGCTACTTAAAGTCATCGAAAATTCAGTATCTTAGTTATGTGAATCACCCTGTATATACAAAAGGAGACAGCTTCAAGTGCCTTATCACTGAAAACAGTTTCTTCAAGGACCAAGGCATAAATGGAGCGGTGTGAGACCGAGTAGGGCTTCCAAAGCAGCCGTCGGACAGAATCTCATTGCACCCGTTATGTTAAGACATGTTAACCGCTGGATTTGTGCCAGCTGTTGTTGTGCTGTCTTATGTGTTGTTATAAGTACGAAGGCTTTCATGGCCGGAGTTAATTGAACTAAAATTAGAACTAAAACTAGAACTAACACTAGAAACTTTCGGGTTTTGCCGTGCGTCTTTTAAGAAAAGGTTTGACGTTTCGGATGCCATGTTGCAACCTTCTTCAGAAACTGTTCGAAGTGATTATGTTTTGTTTTTGGTCACCAAAACCAATGAAGCGTAGGCGACCATGGGTCTGATTATTGCTACGTAGACCCAATGAGCCAATCGTAGTTTGAGACCCCAGTTCCATCTGTCGCGCCTTACTTACACACACTCAAAAACAGAGCAATTCCCGATAGAAACCCTACCACAAGCTAGCTTTGAAACAGTGGAGACGGGTGAGTTCGATCTATTTTTTTTTAAGGGCGCCACGGATTTTATCCCTTGGTTCCTACCAGAAATATACCACACACTCCAATAAAATCCGAAACCAGAGACACATAAACGAATAATATATTCACACAAGACAATTAATCGGAGAAATAATATTGAAATGATGTTGGTAAACATATATATATTGATAAAATGTTAATTCCCTTCAATGTAGATAACGTTTTATTATAAATGTTTAAGCAAATAATAGATTTCATCGAAGTTACACATGTAAAGATTAAGGATTAAAGGTTAAAGATTAAGGTATTGTCATGGACAAGTTTAATAGGGATTTAGATATTATGAATTGGGAGGCGGTATATGACCTTTCTTCTATTGATGACAAGGTTAATTATTTTAATGAAATTATGATTTCCTTGTTTGATGTCCATGCACCCCTCGTTATTAGGACTCGAAAGAGGAACTCTTTGCCGTGGATTACTGCAAATGTAAAGAGGATGGTAGGTCTTCGAGAGTTTGCTCTAAGGCGTTTGTCACGCCTACTTTTCTGGATAAAAAAAACATAATAATAAAAAAAATATCTATAAATTGCCCTTAAACCAAATAAAAAAAGTTGTTATCGTGGTTACCCAGCAGACCCAATGGAGACGGGGAGGTTCGTTATATTTTTAAGGCGCCACCTCGTTCACCCCACGATATTCACCAACGAGGAAGTGATGATGGAGGTTAGGATAGGTTCAAGGTACAATAAAAGTACAACACTAGTCCAGATAAAGCTCGATATATATATATATATATAAAAAAATAAAATGTTCCAAAAAAAATACAAAAGGAAAAAAAAAGTAGCTTAAAAAGTATATATTTCCTTTTTTTTTTTTAAGATTCCTGTTTGAGAGTACAACAAAAGAAATGATAAACTCTGATAAAATCTGAATTTGAAAATTGATCGCGCAATTCCCCGACGACAATGAGCTCAATGTTTGGGCAATTTAAAATTTTAACAAAATTCAAAATCGAAACAAAAAAAATCCCAAACAACCAAATCCTTACAAAAGGCAAAAATATTTATGTAAATAACAAAATTGTTTTTTTTTTTTTTTTTTTTTATCATTAACTAAATAACTAATAACTTTAATAACTTTAAACTATAGTGAACAATTATATAAAATGATATTTGATGAAATTAATTGAAATGAAACAATATTAAAGATCGTGTTCAAAGTTTTTATAATTTATATATTAGTCGGCCGTTCCGTATTTTATTCGTTATTGTTATTCAGTTGTTCCAACGAGTTGTTGTAGTTGACATAAAAAAGCGTAATAAATCGTTCCGTGTAATTTTCGTTAAAAAGTGGTTTCAATCGTGTTAATACACACGTTCGATAGAAGCACTTCGGCTTTTATTTGCTATTCGAAGAGATACTTCTACTTATTCTACAAGAACAGTAAGATTTTTCCTTTTTGACAGTTTTTTTCTAACCCCCGCGTTTTTAAGTAACTTTCTATAAGCGTCTCAGATTTTTCCCGCGCCGGTCTCGACTATTTCTTAACATTTTTTGGTCCTTCGAGCCGGATATAACCGGAAGTGCGGAGAGAAGGCCGAGATTTTTTGAGACGTTTTGAGTATTTTTCGATTTTTCATTTTCGTTATTGTGTGTTTACGTTACCATGGCGACCGCTCGTGAAATTGACTTAAACCCGATTTTCGAACGGCAAAATGACATTCACGGGTTAATTTCTCGGACAATAGATAATTTGAAAAAGCTCGCGATCGCTAAACGTACTCGCGGGAACTTTCAAAGTCGTTTGGAACGACTTGAGATTAATTGGGATGAGTTTAATAATGCTCATAAACAATTAATTCAGTATCGCGACAAGTATTCGGATACGATATATTTCACCGAGGACATTTTTTCTGAATGTGAGGAAGCTTATTTCGATGCTAAGGGGACATTGCTTGATTT